ATGAGGAACTCCGCCCTGCTCTTCAAGCGCACCGTGGAGGCGTGCGTGCTCGCCAAACACCCGGAGTGGGCCACCGACCAGCGCATGCTGGGCGAGAACGCCATGGCGTTCGCGGATTTTCTGCCGATAGCGATGGGGGTCAAGGACTTGGGTGTGGAAGGAGGAGAAGGAGGAGTAGGAGGAGGAGAAGGAGGAGCAGGAGGAGGAGGAGGAGGAGGAGGAGGAGGAGGGGGAGGAGGAGATGGAGGAGAAGAATGGGGTGAAGGAGGACGTGGCCCCCCGCGCTAGCCTGCACGGAACGGCCCGGATCTCGAAGTTCGAAGGTGGAGGAGGATGGATGGGGGATTTTCTAGGTCCCCCCAGGGGGCGCGAAGATAGCCGCAAGTCGCGCATCGCGGGGCGCGATGTGCGCAGTTTGGTTACTTAGTGGTGGCATTCGCATGAAGCCTTTCTCCTTTCCCAGCAGTGCGCAGATTTCGTGGGTCGTTGCCAGGGTCGGCGCCAGAGGCGCCGCCAGGGAGGGGCTCAGCGCCGACCCAGGAAGTCCGCGCAGAGCTGCGAACGTTGATGTTTGCGCTGTCTCCTCTCCGTCCCGATGCATCTGCCGTGAAAGTGCAGATGCCGTACCGATGAATTGCAGGCGCGATCATCGATAACCGCAGATGTGCCAGCGATCGAGAATCGGGCTCAGGATCGAGCCGCACCGATACGGTTCGATCCAGAGCGCAATCTTCTTCTCCATCCGGGCAGTCGCCGATGCGTCGCCGATGCCTCGGCGATCTGGTGCGATCCGACGACCGCGTCTGCTCCGGCCCCAACTGGGTGGCCTCCGGGTGCTCACCGAGGGCCCCCAAACCCCAAAGAACCCGAAAGCGACGACGCCGACGATGACGACCCGCGCCGACATCCAACGCCTCCGAAATCATGCAGGAACCTCTGGATCTTTCCTGGAGGCCCTCGAGAAGCTCGGAGAGACTCCAGAAGTCGACGACGAGCGACGGCGTCGTCGTCGCTTCCCGGGCAGAGATTTGTGAGCTACCCGTCAGAGTGACCCGCTTGCTCGCTTGCGCTTGCTTGCTTCCGCTTGCCTGCTTGCGCTTGCTTGATCTTGCTCCCCCCGCCCTCCTCCCGTCCTGCTCCCGTTCTCCTTTCGTCCTCCTCCCGTCCTCCTCTCCTCCTCCTCCCGTCCTCCTGTCTGCTTGGAGCCAACGCTGGCTGGTATTCGTCAGCCGCCCGTCAGAGCGACCCGCTGGCGCAGAGGGGCCGTCTGGCGCGGGCCCGCAGGGGTCCCCCCCTCGCACTGGCCTGCGCGCCCCGGGTGCGGCCCTCCCCGCGGTCTCCCCGGAAACCACGCGCCACAGGGGTCGCTCTGGCGTGTGGCCTCGAGTCGGTCACGGCCCTCCCCACGCAGCACTCGAGGATGGTGATCCTGGCGCGCCGTTGACGGCAACATCACTCCGCTCTCCCTCCGGGACTTCGCTTCCAGCTCCTGTCCAAGGTGTACCTTTTCCTGTGCAAGCTCTTCTGCACCGCCTGCACCCCGCGCCCTCCGGCCGCCTAAGGCCCCGCCCGCCCGCGCCCTGTGTCCCCAATTCGTGCTTTGCGCGCCCCGCCTGGCTCTTAACCGGAAGAGGCCCGCTCTCGACCCGCAGACCAAAAAGTAGCCTTGAGTCGGGCATGTCCAAAGACAGCCACAGACATAGAATTGGGACGGTTTTTCGACCACGCTTGGTTTGGCAATGTTGGGGGTATGTTTCGACGGCGTCCAAGTTGTTTCCTCCAACCTCCGCCTGTAGGAGGACATGCCCGACCTAAGTTTAGCTGGTCCTCTGCCTTTGCGATCCGACGAGGTGAAATGATGGTCGCAACGCTGACGTATCAGGCTTCAGCCTGACATCTCTGGCATCTCTGGCCACTGGCCTGATTGATGTCGGGGAAGCGTAAGACTCGAGCACGCCAGAACTTGGGTTTGCCGGCGTTTTTTGATTAGCGCGTCTTGGATTTTGACGGTCCGCTTTTCGTGGGATGTTTGCAGCGGGAGCTCGCGTCAAACTTCAGACTAGGTTTCGTCATTTCCATGGTGGCCCGTCAGGCCAACCCGAGTCCCCCGAACCCGAGTCTTACGTCTCCCCGATCAGTGAGCTCTGCTTTACGCGCATTTCCCTGACATTTTCGGTCGCGCACCAAGAGCCACTCTCGCCCAGCAGTCACGCCCGCGTGCAGCCGACGAGGACCCTCCGAACCTGGCCGCCAGGCTCGCGGTGCTCATCCTGGACACCACGCAGGGGCACGCCGAGGTCTACCTGGGGCCCGACTACGCCGGGCCGCGTGGCGCAGGCCGGGACCCACATGGTGTTTGAGCGATTTCGTGGGCCGTTTTCGGTTCGATGTCGTTTTGCAGCGCAGGCGGATCGAAGACGCACGAGGGAGACCGAGAACAAAACGATAACGAAACACACTGCTTAGGTCGATCCCTGCGAGACTCTCGGGGGCGTCCAGGAAGGGGGCGAAGACTGGGCGTGTGTGAGGACATCATGGCCAGAGCTGTGAGTGAGATCTCCTAAGTCTCATGGCCCCCTCTTCCTCTTTCAGTGTCCTCCAGGCCCCCCCTCCCCCCCACCTCTTCGTCCTCCTCCGCTTCCTTCTCCTCCTTCTCCTCCTCCTCCTCCTCCTCCTCCATTTCCTCCTCCTTCTCCTCCTCCTCCTCCTCCTCCTTCTCCTCTTCCTCGCCCTCCTCCTCCTCCTCCTCCTCCTCTTCCTTCCCTCCTCCTCCTCCTCCTCCTTCACCTTCTCCTCCCCCGCTTCCCACCTCTCCTCCACCTGCTCCTCCTCCTCCTCCTCCTCCTCCTCCTCCTCCTCCTCCTGCTTCCTTCTCCTCCTCATCGTGCTCCTTCTCCTCCTCCTCCTCCTCCTCCTCCTCCTCCTCCTCCTCCTCGTCCGTGCACATGCCTCGGGCTATGATGCGCTGAATCCCCCTTTGCTTCGGACCCCCACCCTCGGCGAACCTGGGACAACACCCGACGGCACGAGCAGAAGGCCCCCTTTGGAGGTCCGCGCGGGGGTCTCTCGGGCCTCGCGGGCGGCGAGCGCACGGGGCGGGGCGCTCCAGAAGGGGCTCCGCCGTCGGAGGGTCGAGGAGTTGGCATCCCCCACCCCCCCTCCTCCTCCTCCTCCTCCTGCTCCTCCTCCTCCTCCTCCTCTCCTTTCCTCTCCTCCTCCTCCTTCTCCTCCTCCTCCTCCTCCTCCTCCTCCTCCTCCTCCCTCTCCTCCTCCTCCTCCTCCTCCTCCTCCTCCTCCTCCTCCTCCTCCTCCTCCTCCCATTTCGTGTTCCACAATTTTTCGCACATCAGGCGACTCGGCGCCCCCTCCGCCGCGCCTTCATGGCGCCGCGCGCGCGGAGCTGTAGCCGCAGCCGTAGCCTCGGCGGAAGTCTGGCGGAAGCTGGCGGACGCAAAACGAGGGCAATTCTATTTTGGAAGGTCAGTAGAGTCCGGCGGGAGTGCAAGTCGGTCCTCCAATGATGCACAGTCGGGGGGGTTTTGCAACGAGCCATGTCCACGACCATGCCCCTCGGTGTCTGGATTCGGAGGTGCCAATCTTACGGATGCGTTCAGCGCGGGGCATCCGCGCAAAGCCGACTTGCATCCATGGGGCCGCGGGAGTGCGGACCGCGAGGACGTGGCCGTGGATGAGCAGATGGTTCCCGCCCAGCCAATGCCTAAGGGGCTCACCTCGAGGGGGTCGCCGCCTCCTTCTGAGGATCGATGGTCGCGGGCTTGGTCAAGGATCGAGGAGGTTTCTGGCCGTCTGTGGACTCTTTGGTGGGGGGGGCGTCCTGAGTGGTCCTCCTCTGCTTAGGCACGCTATTGGGCCTCGAGGGCCCGAAGCGTCAGACAGCCTCGGCTTGGACAGGCCCAGGCAGCAAGTGCAGTGCCTCCTCGACCTCTGAGGCGGGTGGTTCTCGTCACCCTCCTTCCCCAGGGGGAGGGCGGGACTCCCGTGGCGGTAACCCCCTGGCGTTGCCAGGTTGGCGCCGGTGCGCCCGTGCGCGCCGAGAGGTGTTCTGGCGCCTGGCTCGCCGGGTGGCGATGTCAGCAGAGGTTGGCCGGGCATTTGGTTCCCGACCTCTGTTCCTTCGGACGGGATACAGAGTCGGGGCGCTGCAGAAGGAACCCTTTTCGTTGGGGAGGGGCTCGGTGTTCCTCGATTGTGTTGCAGTTTGCCCTGGGTGTTCCTAGGGTTTTCCATGGGACATCGAAGTTTAACTTATGGGAAAAATGGGCCTCCTTCCTTGTTCAGGGTTCCTTAGGTCAACGCCCCGACTGTGGTGGATGCTGTCGTCCCTCAGCAGGGGGTGGGGCGCTCGGGACCAACAGGGGTGGGGCCGACGCTCCCAGACCCCCGACGTCGTGTTTTTCAGGAGGGAAAAAAACACACAGACACAATTAATCGTCGATCCCCCAGAAAATATGGGAAAATATGGGAAGTGGGGGGGAAGACAAAAACCCAGAAAATATGGGAAAATATGGGGACTATTTTTATTTGTGTGTATTTATTTGTGTGTCTCAGTTCCCCTTCAGTTTTTTTGCGCAACGTTGACCCCCAGAGGTCTGGCCCCCTTCCCCGGGACCGGTTTGTCACCCTGGGTCGTTGCTTGGCGGCCCCGAGGCCCGGTGAGGGCCCCTTGGAGGCCGAAAAGAGCGAAAAGCCTCCCGTCGTGGTTTTTTCGCAGCGCGGGGGGTCTGGGCTGAAGCCCCTCCACCCCCCCTTGGCGGCGCCCGGGGCGCCTCCCCCATCGCGCTCCGCGCGCCTGGAAGGGGAAACTCGCCGACCTGTGGGAGGATTGGGAGGAGGAGGCGGTTGAAAAATCGTTCCTTCCAAGGGGGGGGGGTTCGGCCTTCCTCAATCCTGCAGAGGAGGAGGAGGAGGAGGAGGAGAAGGAGGAGGAGGAGGAGGAGGAGGAGGAGAGGAGAGGAGGAGGAGGAGGAGGAGGGGGGGGGATGCCAACTCCTCGACCCTCCGACGGCGGAGCCCCCCCCCCCTGTGTGGAGGGCGGAGTCCGCGCCGACCCAAGATATCTGCGCGGACCTCCGAGGGGTTGATGCTTCTGCAGAGTCGGGTGCTCCTGGCAGGCGAGTCCGCCAGGAGAGACCGGGAGGAGCTGGAGAGGCACCTCGTGCTCTTGTGCTACACCCCGGGACACTACAAGGCTTGGGGGCAGGATGAGGAGGAGGAGGAGGAGGAACGGAGGAGGAGGAGGAACGGAGGAGGAGGAGGCGGAGGAGGAGGAGGAGGGAGGAGGGAGGAGGGAGGAGGGAGGAGGGAGGAGGGATGATGATGATGATGATGATGATGCTGATGATGATGCTGATGAGGTGAGTGATTGATGCTGCTGATGATGATGATGCTGATATGCTGCTGCGTGCTATGATGCGGATGATGATGGATGATGATGATGCGATGCTGAACTCTGCTGATGATGAATGAGAGGAGGAGGAGGCGGCGGAGAGGAGGAGGAGGGGGAGGGAGGAGATGTAGGGAGGAGGGATGGATGATGATGGCTGCTGCGCTGATGATGCTGATGATGCTGATGATGATGATGATGATGCTGATGATGATGCTATGATGATTATGATGCTGATGCTGATGATGATGCTGCTGATCTGTCTGCTGCTGATGCTGATTTTGATGATGCTGCTGATGCTGATGATATGATGCTGATGATGATGATGATGGAGATGGATGATGCTGAGAATGATGATGATGATGATGATGATGATGATGATGATGATAAGGATGATGATGATGATGATGATGATGCTGATTATGACGATGATGATGATGATGATGAATGATGATGATGATTGATGATTGATGATAATGATGATGATGATGATGATGATGATGCGGAATACTGATGATGCGGATGATGAGGAGGAGGAGGGATGAGTAGGAGGAGGAGAGGTGGAGGAGGGCGGAGAGGATGAGGAGGAGGAGGAGGGAGGGAGGAGGAGGAGGGGAGGAGGGAGGAGGGTATGAGGGAGGAGGTATGATGATGATGCTGAGATGCTGATGAGGATGCTGATGAATATGCTGATGATTGGTGATGATGATTGGCTCTGTGAATGAGATGATGCTGATCTGAGGCTGATGCCTGATCTGATGATGATGATGATGAATGATGGATGATGCTGATGATGATGATGATGATGATGATGATGATGATGATGATGATGATGATGGTGGTGGTGGTGGTGGTGGTGGTGATGATGATGATGATGATGATGATGATGATGATGATGATGATGCGGATGCTGCTGCTGCTGCTGCTGATGATGATGATGATGATGATGAGGAGGAGGAGGAGGAGGAGGAGGAGGACGTCCTTTGGACTTCGAATTTTCTCTCTGGCCCCGTTCGGGCGGCCTCCAGGGGAGCCGGACGCCGAGAGCAGCTCACGGCTCGATCGGGCTCGAGGGCTCGGGCCCTGAGGGTGGGGTCTTCTCAGAAGGCGGCGGGACTTCTCAGAAACCCTCGCGCCTTCTGGGAAGTTTGCTGTGTCTTCGGGGAAGGCTTGGAACAGTTCTCGGAAGGCCTGGGGACTTCCGAGCCTTCTCAGAAGGCCCGCCCCTTCTCACTCCCCCCCCGGCTCACCGCCGAGTCATGGTCCATGCTGGCCGTCGTCGATCTGCCTGCGAGGACGATCCACGAACTGACGCTGACCAGGGTCGACGGTGGCCGAGCTCGGCCCGACGTCTCCTCGTTCGGTCTTGGCCAGGGCCCCTGATTTCGTCCGTCCCCGCCCCGCTGCATTGTCAGGCCTATCCTCGGCGGCGCGCCGGGGGGGGGGGGGGGAAACGCGGAGGGGGCGGGCCTCCTCCAGAAGGCTCAGAAGGCGTCCGGCCGTCTGGGAAGCTCTCCGAACCTTCTCCGAGAAGGACGGCTGGAGGGCTTCTGAGAAGCCCCGCCGCCTTCTGAGAAGGCCTGCCCCCTTCCTCCTCCTTCTTCGGCGCGCCGCCAGGGGGGAGGTCTTCCCGTGTGTTCTCGTGTCTGTTCCAAGACGTTTGATCTCCACCAGTCCCCGGGGATTCCCCCTTCAAATTGGCCGCTCAGAAAGGAGGGGGGATTCAGGGATTCAGGGATGCAACCCTAGGGGGCTATTTGGACGCACCCATATCGAGGAAGGACCCCCCCTCATCTCATAACTCCGAGCGGGTCACGCTGGGGCCGCCACCCCCCCTTCCCCCATGGTGTGGTCACGCTCCGCGCCAGCGCCGTCTGGGAATGTCCGCAGGTTGTCAATCCCCAGACGGCGCCAGCGCATGTCGTGACTTTATCGGCCCCCTTCCCCCCCCCTGTAACGCCTGATAACGCCAGAGGATGACACACTTATGATCGCGGGATGGGGATGGGGGAGGGGGAGGAGGATGAGGATGAGCAGGGCGCTAGCGAGGCTGGCGCGAGGACGCCTGCCGCCAGGACTCACCTCCTGGCCCCATTTCCAAGGTCCCGCCCGTCAGGTCCAGACGAGGCTTTGGGGCGGCAAGGCGGGCCCCCGCGCAGCGGGACGGACCGCTGGGAGTGCGCGCGCGTGATGAAGATGAGGACGAGGAGGTCCCGAGCGATGAGGGGGGAGCTGAGGCAGCAGACGCCTCCCCGCGTGATTCGCAGAGGCTGCAATGCCGCTGGAGCAAACGCTGCAGCAACGCACAGGTTCGGACGGCCGCTCCGTCCCCAGCCCGCCCACCCGTAGATGAGAAGGGCGGAGGCTCTGGGGCCAGCGCCTCGCACATGCTCACGGAAGCTACTCGTGAGGGGATATTGGTTCTGCAGTGCCTTCGAGATCTGGGCTTCTACACGCGAGAGCGTGCTGGCCACAGACGGATTCCCCGGGCACTCTTTGTCTGAGAGCAGCCAGTAGGGCATGCAACGACTGAGACTCGAGCGTTGAGGCGTTAATGGGGGAGGATGCGGAGGATGCGGATGAGGAGGATGCGGAGGAGGAGGAGGAGGAGGAGAAGGAAGAGGTTGCGGAGGGAGGAGGAGGTAGAAGGAGGATGAGGGAGGAGAGGAAGGGAGGAGGGTGAGGGAGGGTAATGAGGAGGAGGAGGAGGAGGGGACAGGAGAAAGGGATGTTGATGATTGATGCTTGCTGATGATGATGCTGCTGCTGATGATGATGAGGGGACGATGATGATGATGATGCCGATGATGCTGATGATGATGATGATGATGATGATGGTGATGATGATGATGATGATGATGCTGATGCTGCTGTGATGATGTGATGTTGTGATGATTGTGATGATGCTAATGATGATGTGAATGATGATGCTGCTGTGGAGGAGGAGGAGGAGGAGGGGAGGAGGAGGGAGGAGGGGGGGCAGGAGGAGGAGGAGGGAGGAATGGATGAGGGAGGAGGGAGGAGGGAGAAGGGAGGAGGGAAGGGGGTAGGTGAGGGAGGGCGTGAGCATGATGATGATGTTGGATTATTATTAGTAATGATGATGTGATGATGATGATGATGATGATTGATGATGGATGATGATGATGCTCGATGCGGATTGATGATGTTGATGACCGACGGGGAGGACGGGCGACGACGCGACGATATGATGATGATGATGATGATGTTGATGCTGATGACGATGGTGATGATGATGATATGTGAGAGGAGGAGCAGGAGGAGCAGGAGGAGGAGGAGGAGGAGGACGGCAGGAGGAGGAGGAGGAGGACCAGGAGAAAGGGATGCTGATGCTAATGCTGATGATGCTGCTGCCGATGCTGATGCTGATGCTGATGATGATGATGATGATGATGATGATGATGACGATGATGAGGATGACGATGATGATGCTGTTGCTGTTGCTGATGATGATGCTGCTGCTGATGATGATGCTGATGATGCTGACGATGATGATGATGCTGATTATGCTGATGATGAGGATGCTGATGATGATGATGGTGTTGGTGTTGGTGGTGGTGAT